ACCTCCAAAGTCTTCAAAGTTAGTTGCATTTGGTTGCAACTGTGAATATTCTCATAATATTCAAATAATTCCCACGTATAAATTATTATAAATCCCTATTATGTATTATTATTTATATTTATCAGTCATAAAACCTTACAAGGTCCAAATTTGTAAATGGGAGTCTTCTGAAAGAATGGAAACTGTAATAAAGACAAAGCGAGGATACGTTAAATACTGAAAAACTAGATATAGTATTCACTTGTAATTTTCTGTTAAATACTTTTTTCTACTTATTCTCTGCCATTTTGACTGGAAATTAAATAAACTAAAAGGTGGCCTCATAATACTGAAATGTGGGCGTAGTCGCAGACAATGGACTACAAGATCCTGATTAGCCTTTGGTGTCTGTCTCTATGGGTAAGACTGCCTAAGTAATCAGCTTCCACAGATCAGGCTTGAGTTTGTTTACAATGGCCTGCATGTGGCCCACTGACCCACCTGCTTCTCTCTTACTCACTCATACACATATACAGACACTTACTGAAGCACCTGGCAGTGGCTGTTAAGTTGTGATAAGCCTTATCAGATAAGTCGTCTGCTAAACACTGCACACCTTCCACTTATGACAAAGGAAAAGGCAGGGCCAGGTAAAGACAGACCAAAACACACTACTACTTTCATTTATAGTCAAAATAATCCAACCCGAACATAAGACTGAGGGGTACATGCAGGGTGTGAGGCAAAATAGCCCCTGAAAACCCATTTTTTATTACTACTATTGTTTTTTATACACACACACATGCATATATATATATATATATATGTGTGTGTGTGTGTGTGTGTGTGAATTCAGAAGACACATTCACTGGTTCACTGGTTCTTTGTGGATAATAAATAAAATGGCTATATTTGAGTTGTACACATCGCAACCCCTGGTTCCTATCACCACCACTGTAAAGAAAGGTGAGTCAGTAATTATCTCTACAGTGAACCTTTACAAATCAAACCTCTCAGAAGAGTTTAATATACATGAATGCACTTTTTGATACACACATACCTGTTTATGACTGAATGTGAACAAACAGGTGTATCTTCTAGATAAAAAGAATATATTCACCCCGACTGTTCAATACATAATTGAATAATGAATCATGATGCGTTACTGCCCCCTTGTGGCAACTACAGGCAGTCAATTCACAGACGCAGGCCTATTAGACTAAACCTACCCTAACTGGTCATAATCTCTGACTAAGGTGTCTTGTTTAGGAGTGTCCAAGTACAGACATACTAACAGAAAGACAACTTTACTATGTAGAACATGTGGGCATAACAAAAACACAGATGCACACAGATACATTCAGTTTCAAATCCAGATGATGCCATTTTTATAGACTGAATGTTTTTGTATGTTATTCCTTTCTTTCAGTTACTGAGGTGGCTGTGGTGACAAGTTACAAACCTCAATATATACATCCTGAAAGAAGCAGACTTTTAAATTCCATTGCTCTGCATTCTTAAGTGAATGAAAACAACCCTCTGGATGGTGAGCCACTCATATATATCTCAAAGTACATTATTAGAGTTTGCAACTCTATCCTTATACTATACTTATCCTTATACTCAGGAAACCGAATTTACAGAAAAATGAATCTTCCTAAGTACTTTTTAAATAGAAGAGTTTGATGTAGTATGTAAACACTGTCAGATCCAAAATGTACTGCCCCACTCCCCTGTCCAGCTGTCCATATATGGAAAATAAACTACAAAAACAGTTCATTTTGAGTTCACTGTTTTTGTGATATCAGAAAAAACCAGTGCATTTATATATATGCACCTATTCAGCCTACAGCAGTTTAGCCCCAGCCATTCACGTTGAAGCTGTAAGTGTTTCAGCCTGGCCTGCTTTTTTAAATGAGACGCCATACAGGGCAGCCAGTCAGAGAAAGGTGCATTTACACATACGAGTCTTAAAGGCACCCGGCTTAATTCAAAGGGATAAAGACAGGTTGGAAAAGGGTTCGGCAAAAATGGATTATGATTGTTTTTGGTACAGAAAACAGAACAATTTTCATGAGCAGCCCCCAGGGGAAAAATACAAGAAAAACGTCAGATTTGGACTCTTTTGAGACCTTTTGAGGTTAGCAGTAGGGTTACCAATTTTGGATCATAAAAGCTCGTGTTTTTGTGCAAATACATGACTAACCCCTCAAAACCCCTGTCTTATTACATACTAAGACTTATTATTCAGTAACTACATGGACGTCAGTGCAAAGTGGTTGAGCTATTCTTAAGTTATAAAGTTAAGTTTCAAGAACTTTGGGCCAGTGGGCCCTGGCCAGGAAAATCTTCTAAGCCGCTTATCCTTCTGGGTCGTGGGGGAGCTGGAGCCTATCCCAGCAGTCATTGGGTGGAAGACAGGATACACCCTGGACAGGTCACCAGTCCATCGCAGGACACAGGATATTATATATTTATAATAAAGACCTAATGTTATTAAAAACTTGTGTGGCTATAGCAACGTTGGGGACTATGTAATGTGTCAGTACAGCCAATGAAATACAAGCACGCACAACACAAAATAAAGGCTTTGTACTAAACTGTGTACTAAATTTTCAACAGGGAGCCATTTAGGACTACAGTGAATCTAATTTCACTACATTTGACATGAAAACTAAAGCTAGTTATACCATAAGCTATAACAATTAAATAAAGATATACAATGTATTTTCCACAACAGCCAATAAATGCTTGAACAAACAAGCCTGGAGCCTTCAACGAAAAAGAAAAGACACACACAAGTGTATGTTTCATGTATGTTTTTTAATCGTGTTTGATTGGCTTTGCCCAGAAGAAAACTGCATGAAACTCGGAATGTAAACGTTTGGGTCATACTTCTGTTTTGTTGTTTTTTTCACGCAATGCAAACCGTGATAGAGACTTGCAGAGGATTAAAGTCGACAGAGCAAGCTAAGATAACTGTAACGTTGCAGTCAGCAGTCAGAAAAGTAGGCCAGGCAATGACCAGAGGGTCCAAAACTGAGAGATGAACATCAGTTTCTCTACATTTTTTTTGGCAGAGAAGAAGAAGCTATGTGGAAGATGATCTGTACAGGGTCTATGAAATCACACCGCCTTGTTCTTACGACAGTCCGTATAAAATGAGCCACCGTGTAGTCTCCCTCTCCAGTAGCCAAAACGTTGAGGTAATGCATGTATACAATACTGACAAGATGAGCGAAAAGTACAATCATTCACACCAGGAGCATGTGCAGAAGAGGTATGGTTTGCTAAGTACATTATGATAAAGGAATACCTTGGCACAAAGCTGGTCAGAGGAAAAGCAATAGATCAGAGGCATCTTTGAAGGCGCAGACAGTACAGAATCCAGAAGAGACAGATAGGCCTCCTGCCAGAGACAGCTTAGACCAGAACAGTTCCAATGGAAGATAAAGTAGACAAACAATAAAAACAAATGGCATGGAAAAATGATAAAAGCCAACAGTTTCAGTCTAGATATAAATATGTACAGTATAAATAGCTGTGTAGCAGTCCAGGGATGTGTAGTCCCACAGTTTCTTTTTTTTTCATGGGAAGATGTGAGCAATGTCTCTCTCACGCACATTTTGTCATAAATATAACGTAGCATTACTATTCCACTTACACAGCTCATTTGCAATGAGTATAAATAAAACTATTTTCATATCAGTTCTGTAGACTCGTTTGTCTTTTTGACATAAATAACTGTTAATAATAGTTCTGATTGCTTTGCGTTATGGATACAAATCTTTACAGAACAACCACACGAGAAAGGTCACAACACCTGGCACTTTAAAACAGCAAACACCACTAAAAACTCATTGTTTCTACGATGGCCTTGCTTAAAAGCTAAAAAAAGATGTGCTTGCGCCAGTTGTGAGTTCTGCCAACATTTACTAGTGACTCAGTCCGAGCGAGATGGAGAAGAAGCCATCAGTGATATTTCTACTGGGCAGAAACAATGAGGACATATTCTACTGTCCATTTTATCCACATACAGTAAAAATCAGAGGGCATCTTTCATTTATTTAATTTCTAGTCACTATGGCCCTTACGTACAAGTTATTCATTTTTCAGGAGATATTTCAGAGGAGATTAGATGTAAGATAACCATGCAAGAGCTGGAAGACCACCAAAACTGTCACCATCAGATAAGTAGAACTTAAAGCTTTCATTTTTGAGGAGAAAATCAAGCTCCACTCTTGCTCCAGATACTGAAAGGATGTGTAGCTGGAAAGAAAATCTTACTGAGAAAAGAAAATAGACAAAAAAAAAGAAGAAAAATTGCACTAGAACACCGAAACCAGATGTCTGAGATGTGCTGTAAGGTATAAATGTGTAACTGGGAATTACTGGAATTGTAAAAAAAGCAGAAAAAGCAACCAACTTCTAAGACTGAACTTTGGAGGTGCTCACAAAAAACATCACTGCAGATTTCTTGGAAAAACTAAAGGCAAGCCTCCTGAACAAAAATGAAAGCTGTAGTAAAGGCAAAGGGTGGACACATTAAACACTGAAAACTTTGACATTATATTCAGGCGTTAAGGCTTATGTGTAATTTTCTGTTTTCTACTTAGGAGAATAACTTGTACTTAAGGGCAGGTTTCACTGGACATTAAACAAAGTGGAGTCTGACTTTCGCACAGTATTGTATTTCTATGAGCTTCCTAGACACAGATTAAACCTTGTCTTATTACTAAAATGCCTTTTTAGTCGAGGATTAAACTAAATCTGGAGGAAACCAGCCCTATGTTGGAGAGATTTAGACTAGTCCTAGACTTAGCATTGATCTTCTAGTGGGAATTCCTTACTGACAGTCGAAGTCGAAGACTAGGCTTAATCTGTGTTTGAAATCTTCCCTCTTAAATATCACCATCCATTTAGCGACACCAAGGCAAACTGGTTAACAAACCTATCAAGGAGAACTTCCTGAAGTCCTCTTGTATCACTAGTAGCATTTCTACAGATTCGAGTATCATTTATCTTGTGCAATTGTACTTTATTTCAAAATGAACTTCTACAATCATGATGTTTTAACAGCAGGTGTTCACCAAAGAGCATTCAGGGCCTAGCTTCTCAAAGCACTGCAAAACTATGCTAATTTATGACACCCACTTAACTGACATGGGGAAACTAGGCCCTGTCGTCATGGTAAATCATATGAAAAGAAACTTTTGTCATGGTAAAGCTAGTTTTTCCTGTGTTTTGGCACAAGAGAGAAGAAATCCAGTGATGGAAGGATTGCATGGCCATTACTGAAGATAGAATGGGTTTGTTACAGAACTTTACAAAACTAGCAATCACTGAACTCAGAATGAGCTTGGATAAAAAGTGCATCATATGCCAAATACTGCAAAAAGCTCAACATTAAACAAAGTGACACCAAATAACACCTTAATACTAAACATTAGCATTTCTTTTTTTTATATTATGGTGCAAAGATTGCTCAGCCTAAAAATGAAACATAGCAAGCAATAAAGCTCTTACATCTAATATTCTAGCAACTATAGTCGAACAGTTAAGAAGGCAACATGATGTATTATGCATGAACACAAACATGCCATCATTATAGACATTTTTATAGAAATAAATAGCTCAAATAAACTTTTTCTCTTTTTAAATAATTTCCATCTCTATAGGACTCTGATACACATTCAATATATAAAGCATCTATGATACACAACGTACTGCAAATTCAACACTATTCTTTGAAAGTCATATTTCATGTGGTTGAACTTGGGCACCACAGAAGAAACTTTGGAAAACCAAAAATCTGTTTGGAGTGGAGGACCTTGATGATGCTCCATTTTTTTCTCCTTCACTTCCACCTAAGAATATTAACATAATTCCTTAGATCTGCATAAACAACATATGTACAGCTTTTATAGTCTTCAGGAGACGGATTGTCAGGAACTCAAAATGTAGACAAGTGGGCTAGTTGAAGAAGTGCACTGTTCCAGCACTGGAACGCCACCATTATAGTTGAACCCCAGTCCGCATTAGAATGAAAGGAATGTTGTATGATCAACAATATCTCACTATAGTCTCTCCTACTAGTTCTACCAAGCATCACCAGCTCAAGAACCATCCTACACCAACCATTCAACTCTTCAAGCCAGCTGTAGAACGTATACAGAGGTCAAGACAGGGCACTCAGTAGAATACAGTCCAGTTAAGCCCTGTGAGGAGTTTTTTTTAAGACAGAAAGTACAGCATTGCACCATGAGAGTGATCCCCCTGGACTAAAGCACTTGGAGTAGAGGCTGGCCCAAGGGGAACACCATTGCCTGATGGGTAACTGGTACAGTACCAAGAGTGCAGAAACGTGGTAGAAACCATTGCCTGCATTGTAATTATTGCATTAGCAAGTTTCTGAAGGAGCATCAGAGCTATGGCATACTGTAACATCTCCAGATGTTAATGAGTCTTGGCAAAATAAGAGCTTATCAAACTCAACTCAATCTCTACCTGACAAATGTGATTCAAGGGAAAATGCAATTGCACAGGGCTTGGGGAGAATTTTCTCTGAATCTTGCCTGTTCCTGTAGTCCCCAACCTACTGGGAGCCAGATTTAACCTATCAAGCAAAACGTATGTATCTACACAAATGGGTTCTTTACTGTATCACTCTCAAAGAAAAGGCAGAACATGAAAAATGCCGCTGGTAAGGACACCATATTTCTAATGGTGCTCCCCTACAGTGACACCCTACGGGGATTCAAACGTACCCACTGAAAGTGTGTGGTTCAGTGCAAAAGCAGCAGCATCATCTCTTCAGACTTGCTCAGTAGCTCTACTGAGACACAACCTGAGCTGCAGGGAAGAAAAGCCAACACATGATCAGTGATAATATGCTGAATGGTAAAAAAGGCTTTTTCATGGACTGAATATGAGAACTTAAAGTTACCAACATTATCAGTAATGCTCATCTGGCAATGGAGTGAAAGCACCACGTCAGCTAAATTGAAATGTCATCTTTTTCGTGGATGCTGATGCAGAATGTAGTCTATAACCCTTGATATCCCTCAAGGACACGAATGGCACCATGGATTCAACCTAAATCAACGAAACGTTTTTTAACCCTCCTAAAAACCTGTGAAGAGCACATTTTCAAAAAGACGGCACCACAAAACTGCATGCAACCCAGTCCAAAGAACTGGGTACACATGAGAGAAGTAACACTTAATCTCATGGTAAGATGTGAATAATAGTAAATTACTGTAAAAGGGAACACACTTGCTGATTCTGCTTATAAGAGAAGATACTGCAGGAGAATCTCTTGCATTCGCTGGCTTTCTTTTTCTACATCCTGGTGTTTTCATTGATTGGGCAGGACAAAGCTGCTATAGCAATAGATTCTAAGGAGTTTCCTTACGGAAGGGACTTAGATTGCTAAGAGTGAAGCTGGTGTTGTTGATGAGTTGGTGTTCTACAGAAATATGGCCATTAGAATGCTAACCCAAGTCAGTGGTGGTGACGTGTTGAATTTCATTTCTAGGTTCTCTGTTTTGCTTAATATCAAGGAGCAAAACTGCACACCACACGCACAAACAAACACACATGCACACTCATACCCTTCCTCAGTCTGTTCCTTCCTTTGTAACTGTATATTTCATACATGTGCTGCTTGAGTTCCATGGTTCACCAGCTTTTGAAATCTTCATGTTCCTTGGCTGGAAGAAGAGGCCACTCCAGGTTGCAGCTGTGTGCTATGAAGACAAAGATACGGTCTTTGACGTATGAGACAAAGTCATGAATAAGTCAGAGAGTGTCTTATCCATTAAAACTCAGCCCATTATCTGAATCTGTTTCAGCTTGTGTCGCTGAAAGGAGACCGATCATAATGTCCCTCTGAAGACTGTTAAAAATCCAAACCTGTTAGCTATGTTAGTTACAGGTTTATTGTCTTCAACTCATAATACTGTAGTATGGAGTTTCCTGTTTGTCAGTGACATGGTAGCTGAGACTGAAGATGGAGGTTCAGCCTTTTTCACAGAGGAGAGAATGACTTGTTCAGGTTGGAGGATTTCACAACCTTGCGCTGGGTTTCATTATAGTGGTGTGTGGTTAGCACAGACCGTCAGCCTTCACGTGGAGGATTTTGGAGAAGCCTGGTCTCTTCTTCAACGCCTGAAACAGTGGGAGAACGTGGGAGTTACTCATATGTTTGACAGTGAAAAGAGGGTTCTTGCTGCTGAATCTGGCCCCTCGTCTCTTCACAGCAAACGTGCCTTTATGGCAACGTTGTGTAACACTGCGCAACACTGTTCAGTGAAGTTATTAACTGTTCTACTGATCAGTCTCCATAAAGCATTTATCAACATCATATAAAAGAAATGAGGCCCTGTTTTTCTGCATAAAAGAGGGCATTAAATTGTTGCGCTAAGTGTTATTAATTATTATAGTGAACTAGTGCGTCATCACATGCATCACATTGCGTTGGTTGCAGTTTTGGGATGCGCTGTGTGTTGCAGGAAGTTTGCAGAATGATTTGTCTTTTGATGGCTCTTTTGGAAAAACAGTGAGGACCACTTCTGTACAAATCTACCTTAGATTTCCCACTTGTTCCTTATTTTTTCCTTGCTGTGTGGAGGAACAGAAAGAAAAACAGCTTGAACGTGTCTTAGTTTTGTTAGACATTCCACTGATTTTGTTAAGTATATAATGTTCTATGCGCAATGATGCATCAACTGCCTGAGGGCACCTGCATATTTTTGTGTTTTCTCCACTGTAACATACACAGCCTCTTTCAGTAGTTATCATGCAGTAGTCAAACTCTTCTTGGCTGGGTCAGTTATGCTTATAACAGGGAAAACGCACAAATGGGACCAGCAACTATTGCTGTAACTAGTCTTCACACTAGATAAAATATGCTGAGTGTTATATGCCTATGTGCAATATGCCTCACTGTACAGTCTGCATAGCTCACTTATGATATTCTGAATGGTTTTTGTATGTGACCATAATATTCCTGCTGTCTATAAACATCATTTTAGCTGTGTAAATATGCAACATTGGACAGATTGAGATTCCTTATTCATCATCATCATCATTAAGAAGAACACATAGCTACTTCAAATGACCCATATTGCATTCAATTGAGTAAAAAAAGCAAAAGCACCTAGAATAAAATGAATTATTTTCATGGGAAGCATAAGCCAGTTCAGTTTGTCCTGCAGAAAGTGCTCTGTGATGGTTTTGGTCCTAAAATAAGAAGCAAGCTGTTACAAATCATTAGAATGTGGCACTTTTACCCAAACATGTCCAAAAATGCTATTAGCTGCATGTCAGAAGGCTCTTTCATAACCAAAGCATCAAATCTCTGAGACAGATGGCCTGTACGTCAGTGGTCACATACTTTAGACCTTTAAAAGTGAAATTTAACTGTGGCTATGGTGAAATCACATTCATCACTTCCTGTGAAAATCTTTTTCATCCTTAGTCCCAACAGAAGCTCCCTAGAGCTTTCAAGCCTGGAGCAAGCAAACAAGATGACTCATTTTCAGTTGACTCACAATTCATCGACGTAGCAGCAGAAGGACTCCCCTAATGTCACTGATTCATCTCAGCCTGCTGGGCTCTGAGACAGGAAACCCCATGGCCTCTAACTCCAGAACAGCTTTGGTTAGTTAATTTTAGTCCAGCGGTAGGCGGCTACACAGACGGGTGATCACTTCGAGCTTCTTCACACATGCTGCTTTGACTTGAGGCGATTGCTCAAGACTGTCCAGTTTTGGAAGCCATGCTCTCCGGTGCCACACAGTTGGAGGGTATTTGAGGGAATGCGATGCTTCAAAAGAGCAGGAACTCTTGGATGCCTGATACAACTTTTACCCAGACCTTTCTCCATAAATGTGGACATTACTTTTGTTGTATACTAAAATGTTTTCATATTTTCTTAGTTATGTTATGATTCCATAACATGTGACTGTTTGTGATTTCATAAGTAACAGTAAGCTTGAAGAAGAAATATTGCATTTTCGTAGTGAATGTATCTCAAGGTGCTCGTGTAACTGTTCTATTTTCTCAGCCCATATACAGTACTGTGCAAACCTCAGAGATAACTCTTCATCCATTTAATTTCCAGGCAAAATAGACATTAGCTGTATAGCAACCACAGCACAAGTTACACATTTTTCAGGAGATGTTACATAAAGAAGGGGAAAGTCTAAGGGAAATATAAGAAAAAAAACAGGAGTTTCCAAAACTGGAGATCAAAAAATGTTCAAAAGATATAGAAAAAAAGGTGAAAAACCGCATAGACCACCAAAACTGTCTCTGGCTTTTATCATTAAGGTGCGGAGAAAATCAAGCTATGCTTTTGCTCCAGATGTGAAAAAGTTCTGAAAGTTTCTGTCCGTCCTTCCACTGTGAGAAGACAACTCAACACTATGAGTCTGAAAGGTTGTGTAGCTGTCAAGAAGATCTTACTGAGAAAAGGCAAAAGAAGAAAATTTACAAATCAAACAAAGAAGCTGCTGGTGGTCTCAGAACAATGGACTGATAATCCCAGAGTCCAGACTTCAACATCACTGAAGTGATGAACTTTGGAGGTGTGAAAAAATGTAGTGAAAACTGAAAGCAAGTCTCCCAAAAAGAATGGAAGCTGAAATAAAGGCAAAGTGTGGACACACTACATACCGAAAAACCTGATATTATATTTAATTGTTAAGGCTTCTGTGTCTGGTTTGTTATGTATATTTTCAGTTTTTTTCTTGTCACTGAAAAATGAATAACTAAGAGCCGTTTTGACAGGAGATTAAATAAATGACAGGTGGTCTCTGACTTCTGCACAGTATTGTATAACCTTGAATTTAGCTTCATCCATACCTGGAGCTTGTTCACCATCTCATCAAAGAGCTTTCTTGCCTCCGGGCTGTTGGGGTCTTCAAAATAATCTTCAATACCTATTTGCACAACGATGGACTTCAGGTTACGACACACACCTACAGGATCAGGGAGAGAAGGAGGGAAGAGAGAAGGAGGGGGAGGAGAGAGTAAGAGAATATTGAAAATATGACTGAGTGAATGTGTGAAACTTCACCATGCCTGAAGGTTGGGTATAGCACTAATGGATCTGAAATCCACGCCTACAAGAGCACTGTTCATTTTAACTTTCAGTATGCATTGCTAGTAGGGAATGACAGGCAGTATTTACTCAATAGGACCTTCAGGGTAAGTCGGTAGTAGTCCTAAAGCTTGGAAATAAATCTGGGTTTGGTAATTCTCATCAACTGAATGATTTCTGTTTAAAAAAATCCCCTCAATTCCCTAAAAGGTAAAAGCTTATGTCCATAATATGGTGCGCAAAATAGAGGTCCAGAGACTTGTGAACTCATGTGGACTCACTGTTAAAGTGGAGAAGGGCTTTAGGAGTGACCGGGGTTGAGGTGAGCACCAGCATCTCCAGGCCCTTTAGACCCTCTCGGCACACCTCAGCAGCCACCTCCTGGTTTATCTCACTGACATGGTCCAGCTCCAGCACCTGTAGCCGCATGCAGTTCCTTGCTGTTACATACAAACAAAGTCACTGTTACTAATGACCCAGCTCCTGTCCTTAGCAAGCCTGTCCAACAAAGGAGAACAGTTCATCTACTAAAGTTTAGTAGTTATTTTGAGCAAGTAAAAACACCCTATGACTAAAAAATGTAAACTGCTCAGAAGAACTTAATTTACCCTCCAAACAAAAAGCATACAGACTCATATTTTATAAAGGTTAAAGCCATTATGTCTGAAAATGCAAGAAGCCGTGATGCACATAGCGTCACGCAGACGATTGTTCTACATTCGAAACACTGATTCACAATCAAGTCATTCAGCATAAACATGTTTTTCCCCGTGTGTAGATGAATATGTCATCCACTTTGTAGGGTAATTTCCTGCGCCTCTGCATCTCCACATACTGTGGGAGTCAGCAAGAAGTTAATTCCACCATTAGGCAACCTCAAGCTGCTTTTCAGCTGCACACAGGATTGTGTTGGTAGAAGTTATTTTTACATGCTGATCTGAGACCAGCTTTTTGTTTCACATTTGTAAACATTAGGAACTGGTGCATAGAAGCTGGTTCATACTTCCTGACTGATTGCATTTGGCTATATCTCAGCAATGTTGTGAAGATATTAAGCACAAAAGAATTAATATAGTATTCTGTATTAAAAAACACCTTGGTGAAAATGACATAAGAACTCTCCAAAGTTGTCTTTATCTCTACATGCCCAAACAGTTGTTGGATGATTGTGGTTTGTCTGTCTTTTCTACTGAATACTCAGTCTCACCACCTCCTTTCACTCACCCAAAGAAGCCAAGCCTTGTATACCACATCCAGCTCCGCCTACTCCCAAGGCTCGCAGGTGTGGCCAGCATCGGCCAATCGTCTGCAGACATCTGTTACTGAATCGTGCTGGCTGTTGACTGTAACAAACATTAAGATGAGATTACTTCTCTGAATATTCTTTAAAAAAATACAAAAAACAGATCAGTAGCTCAGACTTGATTTCAAACTGTACAAAGGCTCAAAAGCTTTCAGACTAAAAGCTTTCACCCTTTGAAAGCCTTGGAAAGACCTTAGTGAACTTAATCATGGATCTAATTCTAATATTCATTCTTATTAGATAATCTCTTACAGGGTTTAAGCAATCAGTCATTGTTTTTCACTGGTGCCCTCTATGGTTTAGCTTACAGATGCTGACCTTGTGACCTTAAAATTTCTTATTGGTATCAGAGTCAGCTTTTGTTATTTGTTTGTTTGTTTGTTTGTTTGTTTTTTTTTGGGGGGGGGGTCATATGACTAAATGAATGAGGGTGCTTAGAGCACCTGTATGGAGTTTGTATTGTGACTCTCCCTTTAAAAGACCTGGTAGAACTCTTTCTACCACGCTCATGCCGAACCCTTTTGAAATACATTTTGTCCATAGCTATATTACAATAAAGGCATTTGAACTCGAGGAAGAGTGCCATGGATTTTCAGTTTTTTCTTCAGAATTTGAACCCCTGGCCATAGAGCACCTTCCCCACCAGCAGCACTCTCTATGTTTGGAAAGGATGGTGCTCTTAGAGAGTTGCTCCACAAAGTTTTTTGCGTCTTTTTGCTCTTTCACATATTCAGCTGAAGATCGACAAAGGATTATTACTTCTTCATCAATATTACAAGGAATATCCATGGAAACACAGACTGAAAATGTGAGTAAGATGTATACCGATGTGATCTGATTTATTTAATTTACAGTCAAAGCACCCATTAAGTACAAGTTTGTCATGATTTTTCAAGAGATATTATTGCGGAGATTTGATATAATCCACTTGCATACGGAATGAGAAAGTCAAAGAAAAACAAGTGAAAAAACAGGATTTTAAATTAAAAAAATTATCAAAAGAATATGGAAAACTCAGCACTTTGGGTCTGAAAGTCTGTGTAAGTGTTAAGAGGCTGTTACTGAGGAAAGGAATCAGACAAAAATAAGAACATTTGCAAATCACAGATTTCAAGTTCATTGAATGTGTCTGGGATTACTTGGATTGTGAGAAACAGAAAATGCAACCAAGTTCTAAGACTGAATTTTGGAGGTGTGGAAAGTATCTCTGCATATTTCTTTGAAAAACTGAAAGCAAGTCTCCTGAAGAGAGTAGACGCTGTAAAGGCAATGTGTGGGCTAAATATCTGCTTTTTCCTGACCTGACTTAAATGGTCTTTTAACTGGAAATTAAATAAATGGATTCTTTGTCTTTTACACAGTCATTTACAAACACATCTGAATGTGAATTACAACTATTTAGTGACATTATTTCTTACAGTTACAGGAGCTCAACCTTGATTTCAAACTGTACAGATAATACCTGAAAAACTTTACACTATGATAGCTGACCACCTATTTCAAAAGCCCTAGAGGGAATTACTAGTTACTGCCCTTACCAGGGATGTAAGGGCGCCACCTGTAGGGAGATAATGTCTCTGCAGCCTGCTCCTAATGCCCAGATAACTTCTTGGCCCACAGGGTCTGTGGCACTCCTGAAAGACGCAAATACACACATCATCCAGCACTCTGAAACACAGTATTTTGTTGCATTAATGGTCACTTTCTGCCAAAGCAGAGTTAAATAGATATGTAACAGTAAGCACAAAGCAGCTCCCCCCAGTGGACTTACCGATACGTAACAGCTTGCAAAGCTCGGCAGTAGCAGCTGGCCAGCCACAGAGAGCGGTCAGTCAGCAGGTTAGGACAATGAGACACCTTCAGAATTAGCAGGTTTCCTCCTGTAGCTTTTAGCAAGGCCTCCAGACCCTCCTCTAGACACCCACTAACACATACATGTGCGAAACATAGAGAGAAAATTAAAGAACAGCTTAGCAGAGCACAGCAGTTGAAGCCCTTTCTACTTTGCCCTTATGTGACTAAATAGTTGATCAAGGATATTAATTCCAAATCCAGCCCTGATCTGTTTCATATTCAATCTAGTTTTGACCACAGTAAGAAATGAAACTACCTCACTATGATTTACAACAAAGACAGTTCTCTTGTCTAGACAGACCACATAAAAAGGACAGAAGTGGTAGTTGATGTGGTTGTAGAAAAAAGCACTTTTTTTATTACAGTTGGACATTTTTATATTTATCTTTTCAGCCTTTTCAGATGTTTATCACTGTTTAGATTAGGCTGCATACAAACCAATAGTCACACTTTTTAAATGCCATAGCATTTTAGGTTCTTTGCTGCAACCGACTGAATACAAACAGCTTGTGAAAATCTTAGTGTCTTTGTGTTGTTTTTTGTTCTGGGCTTTGGTACAAAGGCACCTTGGTGTGTACAATTAAATATGGAAGGAATTCAAATTTCAATATCTTAGGTGATATTATGCCAAAGCAGATAGGGAGGATAGAAAGGGGGGTATTGGAGAATGTTCTTTGGATCAGTTTGACCGGGGAAAGGGCATTCTCTTGCATCCTCCCTCAAATAAAGCCCTGGGTACAGGTGGAACTCAGCCCTATACAGATAGGCTGATGCTTTTTTAATAGGAGATAAAGAGTGCTCCCTTGGCCCTTTCATCTTCAAGCAGAAATACTGACTCAGCATGCTGTGTATTTGTGTGTTTCTGTGAGTCTGTGAGAGGAAGAGAGGTATGAGCATAAAAATGGGATACTGGGCAGGACAACATTTAGGAAAGAGAGAACAAAAAGAGAGAATAGGGAGTTAAATAAATGAACAATGGAGATGAAGACTGTGTTATTGAGAAAACAACAAAAGGCTTAGAACTGTCAGCCCATCAGGCATTGCATAAACCACTACAATGTACACTGAAAAGAAGGAATACATTGTACTTAAACAGGGGTTTATCAGTGAAAGATGGTACCGTGTGCTCTTCAGATACTCCTCCTTGGTCTCCTTCTTCCCTCTCTGCCTGGGTTTGAGGTTCTGCAGGATTAGAGAGTGCGTCTGCGTGCACCACTGAGACAGTGTGCACAAGAACTGCAGATACAGAAACACAAACAAAATACAATTAATTAAAAAAAATGTTGTCCGTGACAAAAGTTAAGAAATCCAAGTTTCAACATGGCTGCTATCACTGCTTTTAGCCATTTAACATATTTTGTCCACATTGTTATAGATAACAGTATGTGATAGTGTCATGAACCACATAAGTAAGTCAACTGGAGATTACTGAACACCTCAGTGGAGCCTAGCGTATAATGATTTAGGCAGTTGCATGATGTTAATTGATGGATTTAGCTATGTTAGCCTCATAGCTTCAGTGCAAAACTAAAACATCAGACACAAAACAAGTCTTGGCTACTAGACTACAGTGTCTTTAGGGTAAAAGGACTTTAAAGATTCATTAAAGTCAAAATTTACTTTAGTCAGAACAGCTAAAAATGGCATATGAGCATCCCTAAACCTTAACTCTTAATTAGAATGCGAAGATTTATGAATATGCATGATTATGCAAGTTGTAAACACTCCCCTGCCTCCTGGTTTCCAAATCCTACACCTTTTCTGCACTACTTTGCTGTACTTTTAAAGATTTGAGTCTTTATCATCCAAACTGCAGCAAAAAAGCTTCAGTTAGCCAGAATCAAACCTGTGCTGTGGTGTGTGATGCTGTAGCATTTCACTGTTGTTGGAAGAAAACCTTCTATCTCCAAAATGGTAACTTTACAGGAGAAGGAAAAAATCGGCTTTACTTTTAATGTAAGTCAATGGAACCAGACTTTTTTCCAAGTCATTTTGGGTTGTTTCTTTAGGTTCATTCATCATGAAATTACACACAATGTAAAGGGTAACAGGCATTTTCAAATTGTGTCAAAAACAGAAAAACGACAAAAATGGAGATGGGCGAGGTTTTCTTCCGACAGCAGCGATTTATTTAACTACACAGTCCAAACACCACAAACATTAAGTTAGCTACTAAAGTGCTTGCTCTGCAGATAGAGGTTCTTCCCCTCATTAGCATATTTCAGTATATAGGACTGTGATAGGTTCAAGCTAATTCATGACGCACACTGCTAGGTAGCGGCCCACAGACCTCAGTTTTACTCAAGTGCTGTGAAAACTGTGATTTTAGTGGAAAAATCTGAACTCAACAGAGAAATTTGAAAATTTATATCATCATAATAAGCCATCCATGAGGCGTCACTCACTTAAAACCAAGTGTTTTAGGGCTGGGTGTTTTAAAGCACTCCACTTGCCTGCATTTTTCTAAAAAATCCAGCAACATTATCTGGCAACATTATATAAATTAAGGTCAGGCCAGTTGGTTCCACATACATGCCTGGCTGACCCTTATTTGAAGCAAGGGTAGCACGATAACTCTTATAAAGCAGATGTTGGGTATGGTGGTACCTTGGAGGAGATGCGAGCGTTTTCCAGAAGCACCCTGGTCCAGACGGCTGGGTGACGCGCCACAAACTTCCAGTCCCGGCACACCTCAGCAGCCCTCAGCAGGGTTTTGGTGTCCAAATAGGTGAAGATGCAGAACAGCGCAGCCCGCATCTTCAGCACCTCAGGACTAATCACCTCATTGGACTTAGAGGGGCTCTTCTCATGGCGGCAGGGTTTGTAGCCAGCTTCTGAACGCCCTGGGGGAGAGAAAGGAAGGAGTGGAAAATTGGAGGTGGTAGCAAGAGTAGCAGGGAAAGAAGCGAGAGGGACACAAAGGGGAGTCATAAGAGAAACCCACTGGAATAACAGGGCCAACCAAAAAAATTAGTAGGACCTTAATTCTTTACATGTGCAGTAAAACATGATATTAAGTCTATTTATATTTATGCTCTAAATGAATATACCATTGGTTTAATGAAAATTTAAAAGTTTAATTTTTTTTTCCTTTCTCCATATGTGGTTGATCAGCCATGTTTGATGTCTGAAGTTTGCAATATATATACATATACATATATATATATATATATATATATATATATATATATATATATATATATATATATATATATAGTTTTGCATCAGAGGGTACTGGAGTAAAAAAGTAATGGAAGTTTATTTCCTATCAATTAGCAAACAGATCAGCACCCAAAACACATAAGAATTCACAGAAAAAACATAGACTATTTGAAATAACAACTTGCAGAGGTCTGAGGCAATTTTGGGATGATTCAGGCATGCAGTTTACACAATGCTAATTAGTTTGTTATGAGCTTCCGTTACTAGTTAGCTAAATTTTTAGCTCCAGTACAAAACTAAAGTAACAAACTTCGTATACCAATCATGTCTTAACTGGGTGACTATATTTTGGGTAAAGGGAAAAGTGTAAGTTATTTCCTCCAGACTATTCAGTTGTCACTGAAGCCATCTCTGAAATCTTCCACACAATGGTGCTATACCACATGCACCCATAAGGTGATGCCAGAGCATAAACAAAGTGATTCCGCAGACGCCATTGCATAGCATGTGACCTGCAAACGTTTCTATGTCTCAGTGCCAGCTATGGAGCCATCGGCTGCCTTTTGAGTCACGCACTGCGCAGCACGCCCAGAGACCCACTCTGAAGTAACAGCAGGCTGCTGAAAACTCCCTCCCACACTCAAGACTTTCACACATTGCACAGAGCCAAGAGAGAAAGAACAGCTCTCCTGGTTTTAGAGAAATACTGAGGGAGATTACCATGAGCGGGAAGATATGGTTCATCCACAGCATTAGTATAATGCATTTATAACCAAATCGCTCTTTTCAAAAGACATTAGAAAGGTCTAAAACATTGCTGTGTAATATAATACATGGAAATAAATGGTTTCTTTAAATTGATCAGCTCTACATGAGAGGGCGAAGTCTGAAGTAATGATTAAATTTAGAACGCCTAACGTGTGGGGGAATTTCTGTAACGGAGGCACAGTATAAATAAAGCCTGGCCTCCTACGGTAGAGAGAGGAACTAAAAAAACGATAAGGAGGCCACTAGAGGACGGCAAAGTAGATGAGATGGATGAATCCACAGTGTAAGCTATTGTGTTGAAGCCCCCATCAGGATGATCAATGCTTCTTTTAGATCTTCTGAAGTTGCTGTAAGCTTGACATATTACTTGTTTCCTGAAGTGGGACGGTAGCATCATCTTGTAGTAGTTCATTCTGAACAGATTCCAGCATGGTCAATATTTACTCACATCACAGTCTTGGTCAGAATACTAGCTCTGTGATGACACTGCTACACAGTGATTTCGATATGCTTTGGGATATATTACAAAAGCAGTGGTGAATGAATAATGTGGTATGACCAAAGACAGTGCTGTATAAATAATTTACTATAGTTCTTTTCAGGCTTGTACTTAGACAAACAATTCTCATCTGCAGAATTATGATGATAAATGAAATAATTGTGATCCAAATTCAGTTTACACATGTGAGCGTTACAGAGCCTTATCCCTATAGCATTCAGTGTCAATAATGATAATATAATTGCCACATAATTATCATCTGTGCCAGCCTCTAATATTATTTGATACTTTGTTAGACACCAGTTTGCAATATTTTGATTTCCAACCAAATGAACACAGAGAACTACATGCTAACAGAATTTCATGCCATCTGTGCACAACACAGAACAAGGGTGAGAATACTTCCTGTTTACAAGCACATTCTAGGATACATCATATGGTATGCTAAACTGGATGTGGTCCCTAGAAGAGGGTATGTCAAAACAACTGACAGGCAAAAACAATGTACTGGCACCCTTTTTTGGGTTAAGCTTGTCCATTTTACTCTCTACCAGACAGCAGATCTCATGTACCCTGCAGATCCCCTGAGTTTTTGTTTCATTTGCATGTTCCCCATTATGCTCTGCCAGACTGAAAATCTCTCCAAGTGGTGTTCAAACTATGTATGTACGTAGTTTATTAGTTGGTCATGCTCTGTTTACACAGCCTATCATTCAGTGGCAAACCGTGACTGTTAGAGCTAGGCCTTCAGTCTGGACCGTAAAGGCCAGAACTTGCACAAAAATGAGGAAAAAATTATTTGAAGCTTGCAAAAGACATTTCATGTTTAATTTGAAGCTTGTAACAGGCATATTAACATATATATGACCTTATAGCAGTCTTACACTGACTCAGTAAATAGCACTGGCAAAGATCTGCTGCTGTTTTCCATTTCTAACATCTGACTCAAATGCAGGTCAGGCTACCACATGCACTCGCAGTCAGTGACGTATCTAATGATGTTTTTTATTACAAAGTTCGTCCCACCCCTTGGAAATCAAAGCATGACTGGCTGATTCCACTGTCATGCCATATGTTAGTGGTTAATCTGATGCATTAAGCCTTCTGTTCAGCTCCCTTAGACCTAACCAATAGGAGGGCACCCTTGGTTGTATCTGACTAGATATCATAGGGGAAGCATGATTGGATGATTTTCCATTCATTGAACATTTCAAGATTTTAAACCAAACCAAAATTCAACAATGAAGTAAGAGCACTTGAGTACTTTTTTAAATATAACAAGCACAATGATAATATTAAGCCAAAAACACTGTCATCATTAGGCCTTCAATAAAAACATCACAAAAGAGCGAAAAAAATGATAATTTATGTAATCTTCATCTTCTTAAACAGCTTGATCCAGCTATGATCACTGAGATAGGCTCCAGCACCCCCTTGCAACCCAGGAGGATATGCGGCTTAGAATCTGCAGAATATTTAAATTAACACAATATTCTACATTATCAGTTATTGGACCAAGCAAAACACATTCTATGAATACCTTGATTCATCAAAACACCTAGAAAAACACTTATCTGGAAATGCTACTGGTCCAGATGCTCACAGCACTCAACAAAGGACACTGTGATTGGTCAAAAGCCTCATTTACATATATCCATATTAAAAAGGGCTCATTCTGTGATCATTTCTCATGTAATACTGCTCTGAAAATACCAAGATATTAAGCTTTAGCCGGTTCCAATCACAGCTGTGTTCACGTAACTCCCTGTTCTCTATTTTATGAACTGAATGCACAATCCCAGCAGGTCTCCGTTGTAGACATACCACTGCAGTGTCAGAGAGTCTGGCTGCACTGATGAAATCAGGGAACTGCAGGTGCAGCTGAAAAACATTAGTTGTTTATTGCATTGGAGACTGAGTGGGAGTAATCATGCGACTCCCTCATGCATACTGAAAATAAGAACACAGCACACAGGCAGGAGGGAGATGACTTTTTCTAGCACAGCAGTGTCTTTACTAATAGGAGAGAGAGAAAAAGATAGAGAGAGAGGGAGAGAGAGGGAGGGAGGGCAAAGAAGGACTGCTGGGTGCTGTCAGATTTGTGAATTGTTAGTCGCAGTACAGCAGTAGAGCTAACAGTGCCACTTCTGTCACCTAATACAACTCAATGGAAAAGAACAGTAATGATGACAGCACATGAGAGGAATGATTAAGTGCAAGCAAATGGATAACGCATTCATTTGTACTCATTCAAACGTCTTCCACTGTATGCACTGTATGCACTAATGGTAGCTTGCATTCCACAATTCATTTGTAAGAGAGTTTGTGGCCGTCTGGCCATTACTCATCCTCTCTGTGGTTGCTGCCTCTGGCTGATCTGCAGTCAGTGAGTGGGCTGCTGTGCTCGTTACTCATCCCTCTGTGACTCTGGCCCTGGCTGTTCTCTGGAGTGCTCCAGCAGTAGCTGCTCTCATATTGACCTAGTTTCCCCGGCCTGTGTCCTGCACTGTTGTGTGAACTCTACAGCGGGAGTACGGAGACAGACCCCAGCCCCTATTTCCAGTCGTGACCTGTGGGGTCTACCAGCTGTTGGCTATAGCAACAGAGGGACACTGGACACAACCTACAACATGCTAACAGTTGTGTAACTACTTGATGCATAATGACTTCATATCAGTTGTGTAATTGCTTGGGTAACTATATGACTGAAAATGTGTGGGTCACTGCCCTTCTGGCAAGATACTGTGCATCTCATGACTTTTTGCAGTGTGTGTAATGCTGCACTTATGTGCTGTTGGAAGTGCATTTACATTATAGTGGCAGATGGATGACAGCAAACAGGATGTTTCACATCTTTCAGTGGAACACTCCCTATTATCCTGTGACCCAGGCCACAACATTTCACATTTTGGCCACTGAATGGTCCAAGTATTGGATTAGTAAAGTCCCTGTGACACACCTGCAATTTGGATGATCAAAGTCTAATAAATCTAGAGGTGGGTCAGTGGGACCAAATGATAAAAATACGTTGGCAGACTGTATTGTGAAAAACAAGCATCCCTTCATGTTATTCCCTGGTTTGACTAGTAGATGAAAAAAAAAAAGATTGTTGGAATAATTGATGTTTTTTTACGGAAACATGACACAGAACACTCTTAGCTGAAGCGTTCATGTACAATAAATACTAGACTACAACAAAACATACCTCAGATAAAATAATCTGGATTGTAAACACAGTTAGGTCTTGTGGTCAGAAGTCTCCCAAACCACAACCCAACAGTACCTATATAACCACAAGTTGTTTGGTGGGTTTGCCAGAAGAAAGCCTCTGCTGTCAAGAACCAACAAACCCAAGCTCTTACAGTTTGTCAAACATTACTGAAACCTTCAGTGGGACATGTTCTATGGTCAGATGGGACCAAAAAAGAGGTAAGAAACACCAGCGGTGAGTTTAGCGTGGACACAAAGATAGCTATGCAGAAAAGTACCTCATCCCCACTGTGAAACATGGTGGTGAATCTGTGGGGCTCTTTTTATTCCAAAGGTTATTCGGACACATGGTATTATATTGGAGTTTACATCCATCGGTCACAGACCAACCTAAAGTACAGAACAACATACCTGTGCCTAGCCGGTATCCTCCGCGGTGGCCTCCGTGCTGCTGGCTGTCAGCGGACGCCCTCCTCTCCTGCTCCCAGAGTTCCGCCTCCGACTCGGTGGTACGGGAGCCCACATCAGACACATCGCCCTCTTCGCCTTCTGTGCTATTGCGGTAGGGCCGCCGCTGCCAGTTCTGGATGGCCTGCTTGCGGAGCCCCCAGTTGCGGGGAGCCCCGCCAGACGAAGGGGCCCGCTCGTAAGCCCCAGACTCTCCGAGGCGGCACTGTGCATGGTAGTACTGTGCCTCCAGGCTGCCCTCCAGAGCATGCAGGTCTACACTGTCACTGTCGTAGCCTACTGCCGAGCCCTGAGACACCGACTTCACCCGGCCAGATGCCCTATGAAAGGGATGCCCATGGATACATTAGTGTTCAAAACTTTAATAATAATAATAATAATAATAATAACAATAATAATAATAATAGCAATTTTTTCATATTGTAATTTTGAGATGATCCCTAACACTGAAGTGGACACAGGAGTAAATACATTGATGGTGTATGAAATAGCACAGTCCAGTAAAAGTTGTGGTGGTAGTTATGTTCATGTGCAGGAACCATTTTTAATGAATAGCTAAATCAATAAATGAACAACTTTTTCAAAACCAACAGTAAATGAGTTATCTGTTAACTCTCACAGTCCTACGCTACATGCTAATAGAGCTTAGTTTATTATTATTGAGTGCCATCAAGTCGTTTCTGGCTCCTAATGACCATATGGGTAGTGGTTTGCCAGACTATCCTGTCTTCTGGTAGGTTTTTCAGTTTTCTCAATTGCTGTGTTATGATCCTCTGTTTGTATCCTTGAATCTGCATGTACTCTTCCTCAGATACAACAGTGTGCAACAATCTTGAACACTGTGCCTCACGTCAGGTTTTGAGTGCAAATGCGAAACACTGCATGCTTATAAAACCTTTTCAGTGAGTGCAGGAAAATTCCTGAGGGCTAAATGAAGGAGTTCTTTCCTTCAGCTGACTAGATGCAACCCACTCTTGGCTGATGTTTTTCATATAAAAAACCTTTCGACTGTTCTGTCAGTCTGCCTCCAGCAGCTGCACTGATTCAGGTCCAGTATCTCTCACTGCTCTCAGGTCAAAGTTAAGAGTTAAAGTCTACTAACACAGATAGTTGAGGCTGCTGCAAGGCATTGTGGGAAAAGAATGTTCTCCTCCAGGGCTTTAGCTGGGACAGAATTTCCACTGGGGATTCCAGCCAGACACTTAGTCACTCTTTAGACATTACAGTTTGTGGCCGCTCTCTCAGACTTAAAGGGACCTGGCTGAAGTGGACAGGCTACTGTGACTGCCGACAGTGACTGCTTCAAGCAAGCGCATGAGGAAAAATTAGAACTGCCCACGAGTAAATATTACAAATGTCCACTGGGTACCATGGCAACACATTCTTGCACTTTATGCACACTTTAATACTCTGTCTCGTTCTCACACACGTACACAAACACAGGAGCTGCTGTCAACTCTCAACAGCTTTGCCAGCTCACTGACCTTTACTGTGTTGTTATGGAGGTGCAGATGTGACGCGTGAGTGGACGTTTGCAGGGCTATGAAAACACACTCACCGTGTCTCCAAACAGAAGCTGCATCATCCCAGCTGTTACCAGTCACAAGTAAATCCCCTTTGGGGACCTCCGTACTAAATTACACCCTCTTGGAGGACGGCATTAACACACTGCTAATGCAGCAATTACAGCGCTATTCAATAGCTTCTCTTCTCCACTGTGCTCTCTGATTTTACAATAACATCAACAATGTCACTGCTGGCTCCATACTGGTGGCAAAAACAGCCTATTAATACTACTTCATGTGCAAGCATTACAGAATTAATTATCTTGAATGACACATATTAATGAATTATTAAGTAGTTCATGGAGCCAACAAAACAACCGATTAACCCTACCTTACCTAACATGTCGTCAGCAATACGTTCAGATTTTGTTTTTGTCGCCTTCAACTCATTAAAATCTGCCCAGAGAGGCCTCCCAGGGCCAGACGTGATCGAGCAATGAGAATGTCTTTGAAAAACCATTCGAAATTTTGGGCCGAATGTGAGTTGGAGTGTAGGCTTATTATGGCAGGAACAAACAGAGTGTTAAACTTCTAAACCAATCCAACACCTTGTGAATGCATAGGGTGATGGTGCGCTCATCAACATCGTCGTTAGCCCATGGTTGTAATGTATGCTAGCATATGAGAAAAGTTCTGTTCCGTCATCTAAATATATTGTATTGTATTGTGTTAATTATTGGACTTGCGATCTGTCCAGGGTGTTTCCTGCCTGCCGCCCACTGACCGCTGTGATAGGCTCCAGCTCCCCCTGTGACCCAGAAGGATAAGCGGCTTAGAAAGTGTGTGTGTGTGTTAATTATTATACTCTGGACATTGTGAGAACATGGACTAGAGGAATTAGGGGTGGATTTTGGGGAAGGTGTGCATATATAAAGTTTAAGAAGTTAGCCCCAGATATTTACAAGATTATGTCTGGCCCCACGAGGCTATCACCAGAGTAGAAGATGTGTGTCTACATTGTTCATGGTAAAACAGATCAGCAGGTGTAATTGGAGCTTTCTTTAGGCACACATCTATTGTCACAACAATCTTTTATAAAATAAAGCATTACAACAATGAGCTTTTAGAGAATAAAATATATATTCATTCATTTTTGTAAGCCTGTAGAAAATAAAATGCGGTCCAAGGAATTCTGACTGGTTTTCTAACAGCTGTATGATACATACAAATTGTGCTTGCAGCTGTTTCATTTTTTTTATTTTCCACTTTGCACAATAGTGAATGACGCTTTTGTAGCTTTGTATTTTTTGCTATTTGCTTTTTATTTTCACAGCCAAAAAACGCATGAACGGTCACCCATCAGAATCAAAGGCATACTGTTTTAACCATAGTTTAGCGCTTCTCATATTGTCTTTGTAAAATCCAACAACTTTATCAAACATCGCATTTTATGTCCATATGGCGAAACCTTACATCAGAGTAACAATAAAAAGCCAGGAAAGTGTAAAGTACATCCCATTTCTATGTTTGCTTGCACAAAATTATAGTTTGTTACTTGCCATGCAATGACAGCACTGACAAATGATGCTATTAAAGAAAGACAGTAGATTAAAAGGCAAAAATAGCCATTTTTCACTCAGGCTTAAAGATCTAACAGAGGGAAATCTCTGAGGCTTAAGTGACATCAACTTTGGGGATACCAGAATATGATTAACCCACACTCTCTTGAGTCCAACACTCAAATACAGATCAAGCAGATGAAGTCCCGTGCCAGTCACTTAAAAGAGCAGTCACTCATGTATGTTTTGCAATATTACATAAAGATGATGACATTCTATGTATATCCCAGTGCAAAAAAATACACTCATTATATCTATGATGTGACGACAGAGGGACATTGTGTGGGTGAACTAGGCTCATAGTAAGTCAACAAGATTGAATAACAAAGATATGAGTGATCGATCTATGATGCAATTAAACTGGCTATGCTGTATGTAATAGCATATCAGGCTATTATCTCTAGCATCTGTCATTTGTTATCACTCATGCATTATGTTATCATAATGTTCCTTCTGATTCGGACAGCAAAATCATACTCACAAAGACTTTGAATCTGAATTGAATGAAAAATAACCATTCAGTACAACATTCGTTTGATAATGGGTTCGGCAGACCTTAATAATTCTATTTCCGATTGTTCACGGCATGAGACCAAATTTAAATGTTCGATCTTATTTGATGTTGTCTGGGTGACTAAAACCATGGAATTCCAGCTGGCCCAAATTTGCTAATTAAAATGCATCCTGGGCATAAACCCACCAGAATAATTATGAGTGTGGGGTTTTAGTGCTTGCTAAACACACTTTCTGAGCATTTGAAAGCACTTTTCTTTTGCAAAATGAGGATAACCAAAAATCATGATTCTTTAGGTTATGTCTTCAGTGCACTTTAGAGTGAATCACCTTTGATTAGAGAGGTAATTCACTCTGAAATTACCCTGAATTGCCTGTGATTAGAGAGAAGTGATTTCATACAGTCTCTCCCTAATTCCAGCTTTTTATACAAAAATATTGTGCAGTGTTGTGGTTGTGTCTGTGAGGAGCAAGCCCATTTAGTTTCTTTTACCTTGTGTGCAGATCCTGATACATGGACATAATCAAATCAAGCACACTCTACATGATAGAGTTGTGTATATTTGTGCTTGTGCATGCATGTGTTTAGATAGAAAAACAGGAGCCTGGTCTTGTATGACTGGAAATAACTGCCCAGGAGCATCGCTTAGATAGCCGTTGAGTAGACACGCTTTCCTATAAGGACTTTGGAACAATCGCTAGTCAAATGTTTTACATCGGAGGTGACTAAGAGCAGAAAAATACTGAAAAAAAGACCAGCATTATCCTTTAAAGAAGTGCCTCACTAAATAATAGATTTTACACATAATAAATAATAGATTTTATTATTAATTTTCTCTATATGCCCCGTGTGGTCAGTTTTGTACAGAAGCTAGCAGACTAACATAGCTAACAAGCAGTGGAAGTCTAAGTGAGGAAACCCCGACACTATGTCATCCACATTTTTTCCTTGCAGTAACATCCACAGCTTGCATTACCTGTTACCTACATTAGCCTTGTAGTAAAACTAAAGAAGCGAACGATACTTACTAAAGATACCTCGGCCGATCAACTATGTTTGAGCTAAGGAGAAAATTCTGTAAATTCTATTTTTCGGTGAACCACCTCTTTACCCCTCTAGAATCAACCTGTACATGAGAAATCATTAACAAATTTTAATCCACGACATTCTGAACACAAATCAAACCTAGACTTGGAGAGAGTTATATGCTCAACGACGATAACAATCATTAGTCTAGGACTAGGCATAAAGCATATGGTTACCTAGACATGGATTTATCTTAAATTAGGTTAGATTAGGTTTACGTATAAGTCATAATGGAGAATTACCATTGGAAACTCTCTTTAGTCTAGGTTTAGGCTTAATATGGGTCTGCGAAACTGGACCTTGGGGTTAAGTCTATTCCTGGACTACTAATTTTCCTTTTAATGGAGAATCTACATTCAGAATGTTGTGTGTGTAGGTACAGCCACTAAGCTAATAAAGGACATTCAGTATTCAGGGGAGGGATTTATTGAAAGGTGCAGTATGAATGGTTTGGTAGAAGTTCATTATATTCTTTTACATACTGTTGAAAATCTAATCACAGTATGTTGTAAGAAGTAGGACCTTTTGCTGTGAAATGTACTGGAGTGAAAGTAAAAGTCTTAAAAAATATAAATACTTTATAAAAGTACTTGGTGTACATGTACTTTGCCACTGTCCACCACTGCTTTATTCTATCTCATTCCAGTTCTACTTAACTCATCGGGGTTAGCTCAAAAGTGCCCAATCCTGGTCCTGGAGATCTACCACCAGAGTTTACCATCAACCCAAATCTTACACACCTGATCCAGGGGTACATTCAATATCAAACCGTTGTGCAGCGTTTTGCTACTGTTTCTGGGTTGAAAGACGTTTCATTGAAACGGTGTGCAATGGGCTTTGAGGTACGTTTTCTCTCCTTTGGCGTGTGTGTCAGAGGTGTTACCCAATCAGCAGTGACATGTATATAAACACAGCTATACAAAAAAGGCAGTGCACACTATGGATTCCTGTACAAATGCAGCTGCTGTAGCTTGTGTAAGCATTGACTGTTAGAAAATGCATTTTGACATATAAACATGTATCTAAATCCATTTTGTCAGGCTCTGAAAATTCTTCAAAAGGAATATCAAGAATAGCCTTCTCAGTTGCAACACTTGTGTAACACAACAATGTTTAACACACTACCGTTTCTGTTTAATTAATCGTTTTTCTATGTTTTGTCAGGGCTGAACGTAGCCCTGGTAATCAAGGCCTCCAGGGACCTGAATATTACAGCCAGGTGTGATAGATTGAGCACCCCTGGGTTAGCTTGTCTCATTAGCAAAGAAGGGAAGCAAGACCATGAAAGTGTAGTGGCACTGCCACAGAGGTTCTGCTGTAGGAGCCTCCAGGACATTCTTGATTGATCTTAAGGTTCTGACTGGTTCTTTGAGGCACTGGCTCCACCGCCTCAAAATCAAACACACCTGATGTTTGTCAGTGGGCTCATTTAAGACTGCTATATATTCTCCACTGTTTCTTCTGGCTTTTTGCTACGTCACATACATCACTGCAGTTCTAAGTGGCTGTTTCTTTGCAATCTTTCTTCCCTAGTTGTTCTGGTTCTTGTGGTTCTGACGTAGCCAGTCTGTATTAGGTGTATTCATGGTGAATGGGCAATTATGCTCCATCATGGGAGGTCAGAGAACTTATTCACTTTTAAGACTCAAGCAACCTGCAAAGCTACTTTGATCCCAGCAGAAAAAAGGCCTAACCAAACATTAAAAATGGTGTTCAGTGGGAATTCACTTCCTGCAGCTATTAGTTTCACATTATGGCACATTCATCCAGCTGAACTTTAACATTGTGATTTTTTAAGCCTTGGAAGTGTGAGTCAGTAGAAAGCAAGAGGGTGAGCTGTGGTCTCATTCTGAAATAAACCTAATGCAGGAACTGTTCCACAGTCAACAGTGATTTGTTGAAAGTTGTTCACCAAACTTTACGTTCCCTCCAAGGCTACCTCACATCAGAACTGCCTATACTCGCCTGATTTTTCTCCACTCTTGCAAAGAAAACAGCAAGGCAGCAGTGTGGGTTTACTGTAGCTTTAGTCAGAATGCACATCCGTAGTCTGGACTGCTGTTCTTGAAAATGGATGGTTTTGCGAATTGTTTTGTCTGCTGGGTTTATGAGGTTGCTTGCTAAAGAAGCCAGTGCATAACAGAGTAGCCTAAATAAAGTGCATGCAGGCTCATATTCAACTACCTCTCCCTCATTACAGGTGCTTGGTGGGAACAAACACTTGTATATTTCCAAAAAATCTCTTTCAAAACTCAAAATCTCAAAACTTTTTGTAACATACCCGAGTTTAACACAAAGATGTGTTCCAATTACACAATCAAGGTCAGAGATATGCTTTTGTCCTAGTAGCCTGACCCAAAATGTGTTAAAATAGTGATAAAGCAAAATGTAAACCAGAGTGTACATTAGCTCAAAAGAAACATACCCAGTGCTGGGGGAGGAGCGCCGATCAGACACTTGGTACATGCCCCTTGATCCAGAGATACTGGAGTTCCTCTGCATCAGAGACAGAGAAAATAGAAGGTTGGAGAGAAAGAAAAATGTGTGAGAGAGACATAGACACAGAATAAAGTTCAGTTTGAGAGCACTTAGCTCTTTGACCTCCAATCAAACCATCTATTTTCTTGGTCACTAATTGAACCCTAAAAAATGCAAACATTTATGAAATCTTGTATTCAAGAATACCGTAGTAAATGTCTCTTTAAACCGCCTTGAATTACTGCTGATTTTGGGAGGCGATGTCAGATGCTGAATGCTCACACTGATTTAATACCAACAAGAAAAATTCAGCATTATAAACACCTCCCAGCAAAAGGAATCCAGATGAAAAGACATTCACTGTGCATTGATGCTAAATATAAACAGTAGGAAAGGAGGCAATAATATAATAAAACACAAACATCTGAACTGATCTTACAGGATAGAGGCTGGAGAGAGAAAGAGAAGGAGAAAACAGGATTGCAAACCACTCATGCCAAGAATGATGAACACATTCACATTTTTTTTTTAGCATGAACACTTAGACTCAAAAATCTTGGCTTGTCACTCAAGACAAACAACAAAGTTCCAGTCCTGGGACTCACACTGCCAGTTGTGCAGCCTATTAGGACACTAATGACCATATTTTACTGGCAAAAAAGAAAGGTAGGTTTTTCTCTTTAATCTCTGAAAGTTCTCCTCCAACTATAAGCTGCTTGTCAATGCTAGGTGGCCCTTAGTTTAGATAGATGTAGTGTATTGGAGGGGCTGTCTGGAGGCCCCACAGCCTAACTGAGTATTTCAGTTATGCTACAATTCTACTGCGATTTTTAAAGATTTATAATATCACGAAATACAGATGAGTGACAAAAGAAAAACCTGAATAAATTATTTGAGATGTATAACAAGTGCACATACAGGTGTATTGCATGATCCAATTAAGCAGTTAACATCCTACCAGGCTCTGTAACATGTACAAAAAGTGCTTAGCAGGCCCAGCTGACCTTTTGAATCAACACTGCAAGAGAAAAAGATCAGACTTTAAAAGAGGGTTTCCATATCGGGACAGGGATGGCAGCTTCAGTCACAAAGACTGCTCAACTGGCTAGTCCTTTAGTACGACAGTGACTAAAGTAACATCTTCATTTAGATCTACAGGAAAGATTCAGCAAACAGGTATGGAAATTATGGTGGAAAACGCACATGCAGTGACCGTAATGCCCATGCGTTAGCGCGATAATGTAAGGAAAAACAGAAGAAAAACTGCTCCTCAAGTTACTGAGAATGTCAATGCAATAGTGATCAGACTGTGTCAGCAAGAACAGTCCATCCACAAATACAAAGAAAGGCATATTCTAGAAGGGCTGCAGTGAATAAACCCATCGACCAAAGACAATTAGACATATGAGGGAAAAAAAATGTAGGCACTCATCTACAGAGATGTAGAAAAAAAGTGGTTTGGTCAGCTGCATCGCCACCATATTCTCCAAAAGTGGACGAGTGCATATGTGGCGTACACTGAGACAACAGTACAAGCCGGAATGCTTAGACCTTTTTACTGAGGGGGTCCAGTGTCTCTCTTATGCTTTGGGGGCATTTCCCTTAGAGAGAAGGGTCACTGGAAATCAATACGAAGGTATTCTGACTGATCACCTTTTATCCAATGTTTAAACAATTCTATCTTGATGGGAGTGCTTTCCTCTATGATAACATTGTCCCCATTAACAGGGTAAATAGGGGTCACTGAATGGTTTGAGTATATCAGTGATGTATATCATATCCTGTGGCATTCACAGAAACCAAGTCTGGCATTTGTGAAACCAACCACAAACAATCAGTGAGATTTTGGACAGATATGTTCACACTCTCTACCACCTCCAACTAAGGGAATATCTTTTGAAAGCACAGCCTACAAAACAGTTCATGAGATTTGTCATACTAACTCCCCAGCCCAGCCACATCACCATGATGTCAGTTATGCCTCTTTCTGAAAGTACTGAGGTATGTGGCAGTGTTCAAAGAGGGGTACAAAAAAGGTACAAAGAGATACCCAGCTGCTCCCTCTGTGTGTAATGTGAAGGCAATTCAGTCCTGTATTCCTGTTGACTGCCACGTTAAGCCACAGAATAACTGTTTACAACTCTAAAGCTAGGTTATTGTAACACTGCATCCCTCTCATTCTTTTTGCCCCTTTCTCTCTTGCTGTAGTTTAAATAATCTCAGCATGAGAAAATAGCAATGCTGATCTACTTTGAATAAAATGAAAGATTTATGAAGGTAATATCTCTTTAAATATGCACTAGATGGTTCCATGCTGGTCCTGGCTCAATTAAAGTGCCCTTGTGCTAATGCAGAAAACATGGAGTAGCCAAAACTCAGTCATCCACATATCCTCAGTTTGTCATTCTCAGTCATTCTGTCTGCTTTTGTCTTTCTCTCTCTCACACACATTATCGTTCAGCCTCCTCACCCTCCCTACCTTCTTCCTGTGCTCTACTTAGGCTCTGTTCCAAATCTCAGTTTGCTCCTGATATAGTGTGCCCTTCTCCTGACATCATGAATGCAGACTTAACGGTGGGCAAGGGGAATATAGGCCATGGGCTCACATTTGGGAGCACAGCCTGTATTTGGTTGTGCTGTCATTGTGAGTCACTGTTGCACTTTGCCATAGAACTGGCTGAACAAAAGCCCTGCCCACTGACTGAAGGTGGACTGAGATGTCCCTGCACTATGGTGCGTGGGTGCTGGGTGTTACCTTACAGTGTGTCTTGGGGCGGTCCCTAGAGAGCCAGTGTGTGTGGGCACATTCACATTCACAAGCACTAAGCTTGCTCTCATCAGGCTTTTTAGGCCAATACTGATTCAGTATTACAATTGGTAAGTTTCTTTTTCTTTAAATCTTTACATAACATATCCAGCCATAAAAAAATGATCTATGTTGCACTTCTCAGCACTTCATCCTAACCCAGATTTCTATTGGAAAAAATGAAAATGTTTAACTGGAAAGCTGCCTACAGGCATTAAAATGAAATGAGTCTGACTACATCATGTCTTTGGCTAACAAGCTTGTTGTTTACTAAGCAGCAAGGGCAGATCTCTGCCTTAATAAGAAGCCTTCTTTTAATGTTCCTGTTATTGGGAGTGGAGCAAAAGAGTGGTCACTGCCTTTGCACTAGTTAGGTTTTCATTCTCTCCATATATCTGTATATTAAGATGTGTGGTTTTGAACATTTTAGCTGATGACCCACCCACAAGAAACTTCTTTTGAAAATGTTCTGCAAACAGCAATTTTTTTTCTTCTTTTTGTTTTTGTAGGTAACTAGTAAAACTTTCATATGGGTTGCTGTTTTCTGCTGATGTCAGACATTCATTATTATTATTATTATTGTAAAGTGCCGTGAAGTTCTGGCGACCACTTGGATAATTTGTTAGGCTTCTCAAGCCAGACATTCGGCTCATATATTTTCCATTCTACAAAATTATTTTTTGAGATTGGCCCACTGAGAGACTTCTGATCAATCGGAGACTCCCAAACCAGCACACATGTACAGAGCACATTACTGATGTCTATTTAGACTCTTTACATAATAGCCATAAATTGTTTTTTTGCCTGCTTTGGAGGTCCCTCAGTTGAACTATTTTTTTCTTCAATAACATTGACGGAATATATATTGACGGAAATGTATGATTTACAATTTTTTGTCTTTGTACATGAGCAAGCAAGTCAACATTCATAAAAGTGTTGTACTGAGTATACATTCTGTCTTTATTGTGGCAGTAGTTCACAAATGTTTAACACGAAGAAAATTGCAGTTATGCGGCCCATTTTTATCTTGGCACAGCCATTTTGGTGGAGCAGGGGGCTTCTCACCCCTCCCTGCTCGCTATCAGCATATAAGATCTTATAATAATAACATAGTCCTTTTTAATCTCATAAGAGTTACATGGAAAAAATTATCATATTGATTAAAAATACATAAGTCAACGGTGGAATGGCCACAGGGTGCCCTGCAGAAAGAGGCTACTGTAAATAATTTGCCCAAAACAAGAATTTTGCAAAATTCCATACATTTACCTGATCACCATGTAGAGTGATGACAAAGTCAAGTGGCCACTGACTCAAGTTGATATGTTCCAGATTAGTAGTGCTAGAACCATGCCACCCAGCAATATTAATCCATCTCAAATAGGGCTTTATACTATACTGGCACTGTCATAATAAACCTTCTATCTCTAAAAGACAACTTCATAAGGGAAGCAACACAATGTTCTTGATGTTATTTTGGACCATTTCTATTAGCCCTACTGCCACGAAATATTTTAAGATGTAAAGGGAAGCAGATATTTTCAAATAATGTAATAATACAAATAATAAAATAATGATTAAAATGGAGATTTCAATATGATAGTGAATATATATTTGTTTGTTAGAGCCCAGCCATGTGAGAAACCAGGGGAGAGAATGCAGTGCTGTTATGCCCAGAGGACGAGACCCCGCTCCGTCCTCGATTAATTCTGATGCTCACAGCTCAGTGCATTCCCATCTACACCCTGAATGAATATTTCAAATGCTCTCATTGCGATTGGATGTGCAGGCTCTGTACAAATTAATGAGAAAATTGCAGATCTGCCACACGTCTGCCTCTGTGGTTTGTGTGTATCTTGGGAGCTATCCTTGCTTGCTCGCCTGCCTGATTTACCCACGACATGGATGGATAACACTCCTGAAAAAATTACCCCAAGTAATCACTGAAACTAAGACTGCTTTTAAACAAATGCTCTAAATATGGGTCATTATAATCACTGTTACATCCAGTGAGGTTTAAATGAGCACAGACAACTAGCAGAACAAATCATCACCATGTCACACTTATTTTCTATCTTTCTCTCTCTCTCTCTCTCTCTTTCTCTCTCCCTCTGTGTCTCTGAGTGCCAACGCATTTTATAGTTTAGAATTCCATACTTTTTCTAGGGCAGACCTGAAGAATTTGAATACTGGTTATATCGGTATTCATTTCTCTGTTTTAGTGTTCAAAACAAGTTAAATCTGTTATAAGAGGCTGTTAAAGCATGGAGGCACGACAAGTTTGATGAATCATCTCAAATAACTAAGTAGAGTGATCTTTATCTGAATATAGCAGGCTCCGGATCTGACTCCGACCCTAACTTTTTCCATACCAAATTTTCCAGATTTTTTTGTGGATTCATTGGTCCATTTCATAATAACTGGTAAATTTGGGTTGGTAAGCCATTCATCTGAAAACTTGCAGTTGCTCGTTTTGTTTATACACCTCACTGATATGAAGGTACATTCTGTGAGTTTTGAGTTAGGAATTCTGCAGATTTGTAGATTTCTGACAAATGTTTTACTCAGGTGACGCTGGTAATGCTAGGCTACAATGCTAAAATATCATTATTTTATCAATTATACAGCACTTATAACTACACAAATAAGTGTTATTTGTGACGCTCTGCAATCGTCCACTATTGGTGTATACCTAAAAATGTTGTTGTTGTTGTTGTCATGGGTGTAGAACCATTTTGAATACCTGTCGTCCATTGGCTTTGGAGCCCTGCAGGCTGCAGCAGCCCAGGCTGCCGTTTGGTGTTGTTCCACAGCTGCTGATGATCTGGAGCTGTTTCTCAGCGCGGTCGGCTCTGTCCAGGAGCTCCTCGATGAACTGCTGCAGGCGCACTTTCGCGCTGGCCTCCCGCGCCGCCGTCTCCTGCAGGAACTGATCGATTTGTGCCACCTCTCTGCACAGAGGAATAAGAGCAAATGAGAGGGTGAGATAGGTGAACCTTCATGATTTGTCACAAACAGTCAGAGTCACAAAGAGAAACACTTCTGCACAGACGTCAAAGGGATCGTTCAGATAAACTGATTCTAGCATTGATTTATGTAGTATTTCTACATGTTTGGAGTTTACATGTGTCCATATGAGCCAGATACGAAATCCATGTTTCTCGTTCTATTTTTGCTTATAGTCTTAATACAAATGTGGTAATTTATTATACCAATTTGTTTTATTACACACTAATGTTCTAGTGATGTGCATGCTGAGGCAACAGCACTAATATTAAGAGGCTAAAAAACATCAGCAAAAAAATTTGGCAGCACATAGAGGAATACATTTAAAAAACATGCCTTATTGCTCAAAAATAGCCAGGGGAAATCGGCAGGTTTTTGAGCTGGATGAGCAACGGAGTCCGCCTCTTCAGACAGCTAATGAAGTGCCAACATATATGTTTGTCAGAGAAATATTTGTTCATTGTTTCTCAATGTAGCTAACATCTGTTAATGTCGTTAGCCTAGTTAGTTGACAAGCTGTACCAGAGCTAGTCTTACTTCAGCCTTGTTCTGCCTTTTTTGTGATAATGTGTCCTAGGCAAATCAGATCACAACGTACCTCTGTTTCATAGCAGCAACTGTCAATGTTCTACATAGGCTCACAAAAAGCAAAAAAATACAATAGTTCCTTATGGTGATGCAGGTTGGCTTTATCACAGTGGATGGGGGTTGAGAATAGTCATCACATTTGAAGCATTATTACAGTTAGTTAAAAACAGTAGTTTTTTTTAATAGTTCTAGTTGTTCTAGTAGTTATTTATAACTGGCTTTATAGCAGAGTAGTTAAGTCACTCAGTCTGCCTGCAAGAGACTGGGGTTGAGTCTGGCTCTTGAGAGCACCCATTATTAACACTACATTCTTCCCAATTAAATTGTGTCAATCTTGAGCTGTGCATGTATAATCTGATCTGATGTGTTCATACGAATACTGATAGTAATGTCAGTATTAGTATAGTAATAACCTTTCTAGTTAGGTTCAGCTTAATACTGATGTTGCACCAAAAGACACACACATACCCACACATTGCATATTTTTCTTTACAAATGTGGACACGCACTTGCCTCAGACTGTCCGACTGCATATAGACTACTAATGAGTATATCTATTGTCTTCCTCAGGGGCTGGCCTCCCTTGCCTCCTCTCTCTCTCTCCTGCTTGTTTATGTGCTCCAGCATTCTGCAAATCCCTGGAGGAGTGCGGCCTCCGTTATCTCTGCTTAGAAACAGCAGCCTGTGCCACTGTTTACAACAAGGCCTCAGCCATTTTCAGCACCTCATACACAAAGAGTGATACACACAATCTTTGCTGCTGATGAAGACACTAACACTTTTTTCACATTTCAAAAATTTCAGCAGTTCTGCCAGAGCAGTTGCCTGTTTTCAGTTTCTCCTCAATAGAGGACACTCATGTTTTCTGACTGTTTGTAAAATGAAGCCTTTCCTGTCTGTCTTCAGGCAAAGACATCCTGATCAGCGATGGAGATTACAAGTGACATTTGAGTAAACCAGAATGAAAGCGTACGCGACTTTCATATCGTCATGTAAATAAACAATCGCAGCTATGATAAGGCTTGATCAAATAAGCATGACAGTATGAAACGACAAGCTCCACTTTGTAACTGAGGGCTCTGGAGAACATCATGATCATATGAGAGCCCAATAATGGTCGTATTATTAAACAGCCCACTGATGATCCATTTAGAAAGAATTGTACAGGGGATGGGGGCTGCAAGGCTGATGAAATTGTTTCACAGTTGCTAAATACAGTATACTGCGGGTGGCAGAGACTAAACTGTAAAATAAGGAGGGGAAAATGTCTCCTACTTTGTGTGTGTGTGTGTGTGTGTGTGTGTGTGTGTGTGTGTGTATGAAGCTGTGAAGAAAGAAGAAAAGCCGCTGCTGTTTTAGGCCTTTTCTCTCAGGGCTCTGTGTGCGAATAGTGTGAATGTGTGAATACTGAGTGTGTGTGTGTGTGTGTGTGTGTGTGTGTCTGGGGGTCTTTTCTGTTTGTTTCTTCTATTTCTGGAGCCACAGTTCACAATATCAGAGTCTGTCACCTTGCATGATACCTGGAGAAACACTGAGAAAGTGACATCAAATTTGGTGTGATTTACATACACACCAATGTGGTGTCAGAATTCACGCTGACACCACCTGATGGCAGGGCTAGATCAATACATTGGTTGGCTGATAATATTGATATTTATTAGGGGCCTTTGATATTGAGCTTTTTTTTTCTTCATGTGCCATCATAGGGATTTGAACTCATGATCTTCCAATGACAGAACAAACCATTAGACAACTGTCCCACAGGGCAACTTGATGTGAGGCACCCTTTTTCCCTATATATTAACAGGACATGCTCTGGACATTAAACTGGTGAGTTTAAGCACAAAACACCATCATGTCAAATATAACAAAAACATATAAAATGTATTCACATAATAACATAATAACAACAGTTCCTGTTTGAAGAGGCTGTTTTAAATGGTATACTTGATGTTCTGCGAGATAGACCTACTGTATGCAGATATTAAACATTTACGGACACAGAAATGTGAGTGACTTCAGAAGCTCTGAGTGGTGCGACCATTGTATGTTCACATGAAGAGGCAACTAGTCACTAATATCAGCTCAAGATTGTCTCTTACGTTTTAAGCAACTACTGTCATTGCTCTTGGGCTGTACACTGTCTAGCAACAGGGAACTGACTAATATTGCGACTGCATTTTAAATTCCGATATTTTATAAATTGAGATTCAGACCTGATTTATTTTGGCCAAGAAGACCAGAATATCCACCTTTTTTGGCTTAAGGCTTGACCCCTGAATGTAGTGTGCTAAACTACCAGTAAGTTGTGGTTGTGGTGTCACTCCACAATCCATGTGCATGTTTAAAAAGTTCTTTGCATGGTATAACGGTTCATTAGATTGATGGAGAATGTGCTGTATATGGTTCTATATTGCATCTTTTGAAAAGGGTTCTAAATAGCACCAAAAATGTCTTCTATTGTTACAAGCTTGACATTGTAATAATAGCAGAACCCTTTCTGGTGCTATATAGAACCATATACAATACATTCTCCATTATTCTAAGGATATTTTGCCATTTAAGCATCAAAAAGGGGCTTTTAGTGTTTATGGTTCTATATGGAACCACTGTCTTAACCGACCAACTTAATATCACCTTGATGGTATTTTTTAAGAGTGCAGACTTTAATTATAAAAGAATTGCAGCTCTTGCAATTTGAAAATTGCACTTAAACTGTGATTTCGATATAAAACGATTGGTCTTTTAACCCGACTTGGACCCACTTGTCTACCGCTGGATTGAGGAATCTGTTTGAGCAAATCATACAGATTGAGAGGTGGGCAATATGGTAAAAGCATAGCATCACAATACTTGACACTTTCACAATATGTGATATGTATCACAGTATTTAGTTTTTTGAGGTTTGATCAACTGGCACAAAAAACAAACAAACAAAAAAACAGTAGTGCCACATTTAAAATGACTAATATAACTAAAATGATAAATGCAGTTGTATTCAATGTTTCATTACTCTGTTGCAATAAATACAACAGGAGTAATTATGCTCATCTTGTCAAACACGCAGCAGATCAATATTTTACAAGTACTGACATGATGATGGGAATGATGGGTCCCCGTCACCTGCTAATGTGAACGTGTGGTAAGTGTTCACCTCAGCATCAGGTATCATGGTTACTATACATTGACTGCTGGTGTTTGTAGAATCTATAATTGGTCTAAATCTGTCTTTTTAAGATATGTGCATTTGTTCAGTATTCTAGAAGTACTGACAATACTGATGATCCATCCAGAAAAGTGTACTGTGATGTAAATATCACATTACCTACCCCTACAACTGCTTCAAACACACTATATATGCCTACAGACCCGTGTCAAATCACTTCATCAATATGTGCACCGCTTCTGGTGTTTCTGCTTTGGTTCTTAATTGGTGAAAAATAACTAAGGAGTAAAGCACTGCAGCATTCATAATGAAGATTCATGGGGCCAAGTCTCTGCATGGATATTCATTTTGTTGCATTAGGAATCTCACTCATAATTTATAGGCTATTATCTTAACCTAATTTGAATGTTATTCTAATGCAATTTCAGTGTTTAATTTTCTGCTCAGATTTTTTTTTTCCACAGATAAAGAGTGGGGCTCAAACCTCTTACACAAAGTGTTAGTTCATGTAATATTAAATCTGGACAAGGCCGAAAAACCTTTTAGATAGTGTAGAGAGGAGCCACCGGGAGGTGTTTTCAATTTAGCACTCTCTTCCTTGGTGAGGAATACCTTGGCGGTTCAAAATTTAATGTGTACTGGGGCTGTTGTGTGAAGTTTTACCAGAGCAGATTTTTCTTTATAAGCAGGTTTGGGTCTTTGGACCTGTTAGGCAAGGCCCGACAGATATATGAAAATTTAGTGGCTCCACAGTCTAATACCCCACAGGAAGAAATATAAAGCTGACAACATCACATCACACAGTGTGAATGGGTGAGGATTCAGGCTAGATTTGTTAAAGGACTGAAACAGAGTTATTCTTCTTTACCCCTCCGATATCAAATTTTATGTATACACTATATATATTTAAATTTGGCCCTATTGCATTTCTGATTTATTATACCTGCAAATGTCAGAAAAAAACATATTGTGAAATATCTTGTATATCATGAAAATGTCATTAACTGTAGTAGAAAAGTTCATGTTATCAATCCAACAGAAACCAGCAAAGCTTCAACAGCAGATTATGCTGTTGAACAGAAGTAGTAAAAGTGTCAGTCAGTGGAATATGGGTGAATTTAGACACAGACCTTACTGTGTGCAGGCATGACGGGGCAGAGCTAGCTAAGCCAAAGGGGCCAGTCACTAACC